TTCAATCAATATACCATTAATGAAAAATATTTCCATACATTGTAACAATTTATTCATAACTTTTTATTTTATTCATAAACTTTTAATTTAATATATTAAAATTTTAGTAAAAGACTGAGTCATTATCTTTGGCACAACAACTCATGCAGAGTCAGGGCTGATCGAGTGGTTTGCCCCCTTCTGTTTACCAGAGGTGCTTGCACAGGTGATGTGAGGTCCATGCAACAACTCCCATTAACCCCTATCTTGATTTACTAGCCCTGATGACACCACATTTAGATAGCTCATGAATTTCTACTCTCAAGGCTGAGTGCACCCCATTCTAGACCCCAACCCTAAGATAAAAATTTCTCAGGACCACCAGGAAATTAAATCTTGGACCTCTAGATCTGGACCTCCAAAGCAAAGTTGACCATCTAGCCCCTGCTGGTGGTCAAAAGACTAAATAAAAGGAATGATTTCAGCAATCTGTCTAAAATTAATTTTAAATAAATATCATTATGAAGCACTAAACAATGACCCCCCCTTCCCTATGTAACACAGTGTAATAGTGCCTTAAACACCCTCCCCCTCTTTATCGTTACTTAATTAATGGACCCCTTATCTGAGTAGTTGTGAAAATAGTTTGATGGCCTCTATTACCATTTTTTTTTTAATTTTGAGGGAAGTCAAATGTAAAAATATATTGACTTAATTAAAAAAGTTATTACGATTTTTTTTACTGAAAGAGGAAATATTTGTTTCCGTTAATGTAACTTCAAATTACTTCTATTTACATGTAAATGTTGACTTTTTTCATGTGGTATGCAGGATGCATATTTAAGTCCTGACTATTGTTTGTGATTATTATAAAATGTAAGAAAGCATGAAAGCCAACCATTGCATTACATACATACAGAAAAATGAAGGTAAACTATCATTTCAGTTAGCTCTGATGGAAATTTTTTGTGTCAGACAATTACTGGAAACCTTGACATTAAAATTGTCTATGGTTAGTATTCTATATTTATTATTTGAATTGTAGGTGGTTTCATAAAACTAATAAGTTGGTAAAACTGTTTCTAGTTTTGTTTTGTCATAAACAAAAGGTTTTGATAAAGCCCACAGCTTTGAATATTTATATTAATAGTATGCCTCTCAAACCTTTTTATTCGACATGAATTTATTTGTTAATTTCTTTGTTTGACATGCTGTAATGTGTTATCATATGGTAAATTTTATATTGTTTCAGACTCACACCCAGTGATTTGGAGGGTAATCCTGTCAATTTAAGATATGTGAAATTCCAAAATGTGCAGAATATTCAGCTTTTTATCAAAGATAACCAAGAAGATACAGACGCTACCCAGATCGATCATTTAGCAATTATTGGTTCACCAATATCCACCACTAATATGGGTGATTTTAAGAGAGTTGCTGGCAAGAAGGGCGAAAGTCACTAAGATTAAATCATTTTCATCTTATTGCTACGAGAACTTTTTTTTCAGGCCTAATGTTAGCAAAGATTGCATTTGAGTGTTGCACTGGTACCACAGGTTCTTTATTACTCTTGTGTTTGACATGAAAATTAGAACACAGTAAAATCATAATGTAAACTTTATTTTCTGGATTGGCATATTTAAAACACCACATTATTTGAGGAATAAACATACTAAACTTACCTGTGTTGCTATGTTGCGTTGGGGCACTGAATTCAGATAGGGAAGATTAATGAGTGAAGATGGATGGTTCTGCATTTTGCATTTTCCGTTTTCTCATCTTTCTGTTTTGCTTCACCCTTGCTTTTATTGGCGATTAAATTATTTAACTTTTTGGTAAATGTGTGTTGTATTAAGAAAATAGTTTGAATATTGAAGAAAAATTAAAGAAATTGAATTAAAATTTAATGGAAAAAGTTGATAGTGACTTTAATGGTCTGTAGATTTTGATGGTGCTTGATATTTTCGTATTAAGAATCGATTGTCTGAAGGAACTTTTCTTGGACTGATGTCGTTAATAATAATTAATGAAGATTTTCGTGTGAAGAAACAAGGACTAGAAGATGTAGGTTCTCATGTATGTGCTCCGAATGTGAATGTGATCTGCAAGTTTTTAGAATATTAATGCACTTTTTTAAAATAATATTGTACTTTCTCAAAATTCATTTTTGACCTAGGCAGCTCATGTTGCAGACCTAGTGGTGGTAGATGGTCGGAAGTTGGATTGTTCGGGAGAACTGAGGTTCTACTGTTTCCCTTTTGATGTTTGAAGATTATATTTTTTGTGTGAAAGGTGCTAGACACTCTACCTTATCATTTTACCATCAACAATTTTTTCATCTTGATTTCAAATGTGAAAATAATAAAAAGAATATCTTTTCTTCCACTCCATAAGTTGCGTAGAATTTATAACAATAAGTCAGAATAATATTTAAGATTTATCTGGCACAGTTTAATCAAAATGAAGTAAATATCAAAATTTTGCCACTTACTTGATTAATGAATGATATGGGGTTTGGATGTAAATAATGGTATCTGACATTTGTATGAAAAATTATCAATGTAAACTTTTTTATTTATACTTGGTCTTCCTACTTAAACCAGCAAACATTGCTATATGCAAGACTTGAAATGGAAACAAGACTAACATTACAATATTGTAATAGCATATTTCAATATCAATTTTTTGAACTATTAATGTGTAATAAATAAATAATTGGTTGTATTGATTTTCAAATGATATATGATGTCCGATCTTGTAAATCAGTTGTATATACAGTCAAACTGAAATATATTACGAGTGTATTAGAACATAATGGCATGTGATAAATATCCTGTTTCGGACCAGTTCAGAGGAACTTGATGTACAGGGGTGGATCCAGCCGAGCGGGGGTATCGTAGATTTTTGTTAAATAATAAACATATTTGTGATTATATTGTATATTATTTATATACTGTAGATAAGATACTACACAATATTAATGTTTAAATAATTACATCATTGGAACATACATAAATATTTAAGTCAGTTTTTCGAAATAAAGAAAGGTAAATGAAAACTAGGCTTTTAGGGGGTGGGGGCATGTCCCCACCACCCCCAATCCGGCAGTGTGGATGAAAAATTATCAAGTTGCTGATTGCTGAATTACCAAGAAATGTTTTTTGTTTCTTAACACTTGCAATATGTAGAAAAGGTTAAGTCCTTCAAAACTTGATATACTCTTATTTATGTGAAGTGGTAAATTTTAATTTTGGTTGGAGATTTTTCAAATATTTTATTGGGCGCATGAAAGGTCAGACTACTTGCAGCTGAAGTCTGTCTTAACTTTGCTGTCTGGGAGATGCTGCATCCTTGGCACAGATGCCAATGTTTCAGCTGTCATGCTGCGACCTTCTCCTACCTGTCACCTTTTGAACTATATTTCAGCTTGAGGAGGGTTCCAGCTTTACTGCTGAAACATTGGTGTCTGTGTAGGTTGCAACATCTCTAAGACAGTCAAGTGGAGACGTTTTATTGGGCAGATTTGTGTGAATTTTACCTTATGTTAGCTATTATTGAACATTACTCCTCTTGGTGAAATTACATTGCCTTCATATAGTGATTATTCAGCTTTGGCAAATCATCTTTGCAGTTACCATCAATGTGGTTGAATGAGAGAACTAGAATTAATAAAAAAAAACTTGCAAAGGAAGAAGAGAAACATTCAAAGTTACTATTATGTTGCAGTGGATTTACTAATACTTTGTATTATCAGAATGGAATTTGCAAAATGTCAGGTATGATTGTTTACATCTGAGTTGATGTAAAAGCTGTTTGGAACAAATTCAAATTCTTGTTCATTTATGTTACACTTGTCAGAAAAACTGGAAAGTCACATTACCATGAGTAATGTTTGCTATTCTCATCTAATTTCCTCCATTTGAAAAATAATGTATTTGAACTGAAGAAATGTATTTGAAAAAGAACGTAAGAATGTATCATCTTGTTAAAAGGTTTTGCATTTAAAATATTATTGTATGAAAGGAGATTTTGTATTTATAAATAGTTCCTTTCTTTGCAATTTCTTTAATGGATGCAGTTCCATGTTCAAGTAACAGAATGGTTATTAAATGCTAGCAAACCTAAACTTGCAGAAAATGATGGATATTTTGTGATAATTTCTTGTAAATGCAAGACTAAATAAAAATGTATGAAGCTTATACTCATGTGACTGTGATTAAGAAAATGCACAGCATTTTCCTAATCTTATATCATGTATCTTTTTGATTTTTTCCATTTCAAAAGTTTGTAAGTTTTGAATAAGTAGTGTAGAAAGGAAATTTTATGTAACCCTATAGTTGATATGGATAAACATGTAGTCGACTGCTATTTGTAAAATTAGCATTGTTCAAATTATTTTATCAATATGTGTAACTATTTCTTGCTAAAGAAGTTTTGAGATGATGCTTCATCCAATTATGAGTTTGTGTATGTTGACATCAATAACTTATATTCTAAGCTAGCTAGAGCAGCTGCGAAGCCCAAGGTCTCCAAGAGTTAAAAAAGGAATGGGAATATTCGGTATATGGTTATCAGCATCCGGTAAAAATAATGTATAACTTGTCATGTTTAATTTTCTTTTGGAAGAAATTTTTCGTGTACATTCTTCCTGCTTGAAAAGACAACGTGTGTATTTGTTTCAGTTATCTTCACAGTCATTTGTCATATATCATAAATTATATAATTTTAGTTTTGTATAAATATACTGAAAATTCCAATGTTCATTTTGCGAAAATGTGCAATAGGTAGGTGGACCTACTTACCAGCATATTGCAGCTATCCTGGCATGACATTTGAGAAACCGTGGCCTTGATAACCATTCTGAGAGCATTTGAAAAGAGCAAATGGTATTTCTTTTTGACATTTTAGTTTGTGATGACATTTCCTTGTTCTTCAGGGATTATTTGAATTTAATTCGCAAAATCAAACATTTTAAAATTATAAAATATTTGTTCATTATTTAATGTTATGTATTTATAGATCACATAAATATTATAATCCTTTGTAATATATAGGTGGATTAAATATTTGAAATATGAAGAAACAAGGTAGGATTATATCCAGCAGGTTTGCGACAAGAATGAGAAGGCCATTTGATATGTTTTATTTTTAAAAAAAGTGTTGTGCGGGACAGAACGTTTGACCACATTTTCTTAATCTCCAAAACCTTTACTTCGCCCCTTCACTATACATAGTTGAATGATGAATGAAAGTGCCAACAAAGTCTGGTTAGTGACATTTGAAAACTTGGCATTTTTGCTCCCAAGTAATGCTTCCTTTTTGTCTACATATTTGAATTATTGTGTTCTTACAAAATAGCAACCCAAATCTCCTGTCTCTAAGCCTTTCACTACTAGCAGAGGGGGAGCTCAAAAAACATGGGCATAATGTAGCTACATTTGAGATATTGGTAATGATTACCTGTATTTTTATGTATGTAGGTTGGTAGTGGGGGGACGAGTTATGGGTTGATCTGTGTATCGTAGTTATATGGAAGAATGATATGAATAACTGGGTAAAAGTCATTTAAAACTGGTTTGTGTTTTTATAAAGTAAAATTTGGTGCAGTTGTAGTCGGAGGAAAATAAGGAAGAGGAGTTAGGCCACAAAAGAATAATGCACGTAAAAATCAAAAGTTAACCCAGTAGCAAGTGAAAAATGATACAACTAGGACATGTAAAGTTTGTCTGACCTAAATCTACGATGCCCAAATTGTGTGAAAGAATGGACAATATGGAATAGAGTATTAGAAGATTATATGTTAGCAACAGGTCATCATGGAAGCTGTGGATTCAATGAAGCTGGTGTTAGGAAGAAATCTCATGGGTATGGGAACTTGTGAAATTCTTATGACCATACCAATGACTCAACCTGAAAGTGAAGTGTGTATCATGGTAATACAGAAGATGGAGGACGTTTTGTAAAGAAGTGTTTGACGGGTGTATGAGATTTCCAGGTAAATGTAAAATAATCCTACAAGAAAATAATAAACAGGTATGCAATCCTCCAAGAAGGGTAGTAAATATGTTAATGGAACCACTAAGAAATGAGTTAGAAAGGTTAGGAAAAAGAGGGGCTGTAAAAAATGTTGAGGAATTACAGTACAGCCTGTTTGAATAGATTGGTAGTAGTAGAAAAGAGGCATTAAAATATGAAGAAATATGTTATGCTAAAAGCAATGGTAGGTCAGAAAATGCAATGAAATTAATCAAATAAGTTCTTATAAAATGTACATATTCAAGAGAGGGCATAAATGAGTCAATAATAGAGTATAACAATACTCCTCTGGTGACTGGATGGGTCACCATCTCAATACTAAATAGATGAGGACTTATGCCAATGACAAGAAAAGCTATGGAACTGGTAATTCAAACTCAAATCTATGGCAAGTTATGTGCTAGACAGTAAATGGTGGAAGAACGGTGTAATAGGACAGTTAGAGCTGAAATAAAGTTTCAAAATTGGGAGAACGTAGTAGTGAGAACTAAAGGATAAGATTTAGGAAAAGGCAGAAGTGTTAGGAGAGGAACCCAGATCATATAATCTAAAGATGGAACAGACTGTTGGATCATCTTATAATGATATAAATAGGGATACCCAATCAGAGATTGACAGATTATGAAAATGATGCAGGAAAGTAAAGTAGGGATTAATAATGAACTTGAAAATACTATGACAGATGTAAAGATGAATCAAAACGAAACAAATGAAAATGTAATGAGAGCGCCATCCAGGAATATGTGAAGGTATGATAGGGTACTGAAACCAAAAGTGCGGTTGTACCCATAAAATAATATAAAAGGGGAGATGAGGTGTTAGTAATGATTACATGTATTTTTGTTTATGTAGGTTGGTAATCGGAACGAGGAGGAGAGTTATGTCATGGAAGAGCGATATGAATAGAGACCTTTAAAACTGGTTCATAAAGTAAAACATTATTATCCGCAAGCTGGACAACCCTGCTACCAGTTAGTCATCCAGAAGTACATCTGCCACAGGCCCTAAAAGATGCCGGAGGCAGCTGAAGTGTCGACTGGTAGCCGATGACCCGTGCCCTAACCTCTTCACGTAGATGAACGGTTATAGTGCTCCCTCGTCCACAATCAGCTACATTTCGGCCGGTAGAAGGTCGAGCTTAGATAATACTGTGCCCCCCCTCCCGGTAGCTTCACAAGATAGTCTCTACTGATGGCTCATCGCAGCACTAGGTCCACCGTGACTTTATAGTCAGGCTCCCATCCTTCGTCTATACTACAGTCACCTGCGTCGCCCGTGTTTAGCGCAGTGGTTGGATCACCCGCCTGGAGTTTCTGGGATCTCGTGAAGCTCTCTCCTTCCCACGGCGTCCCTTCGCCACCATCTGCGTGACAGATTTGGGTTGAGATTCTCAGTCAAAATTGAGCTTTGCTGCTTCTTTAAAGAGGATCAAAACACAAAATTACATTTTCCTGCATATGATAGTCACGCAAAAGCAAGAGGAGAGATGGTAGGCACAAAAATCGGGCTCCCTGCGTTTTGTGGAAGCGGAGATACAGCGTTATTGGCTCGTGAAGCTACGTTACCGAGTTGCGCCGTGTGCTCGAGACCTGAATTGCCTTGTGTCGCCTTCGAGCGATGGTACTGTAAACATTGACGGGGGAAACGCCTTGCTTTCACTTCTCCTGTGCTTTTCGTCGTGGTTTATTACTCGTTGCTAAAGCGAAGATGAAGTTGAAGACTCTTTAAACCGAATCAAACTTGAATTCGAGAGCGAGTGCTAAAATCAGAAACAAGTGATTTTTCTTCAATTTTGTTGCGTCTATATAGACGCAATGCGTCTCCTAGGAGCGTTGAGCACCTGGGATTCCGATAATTTCGGCTGGAGTAATCCTATATTATTATGCATCCACCACCCTCCAGGGGTGTTCATGTGAAGTCAGGGAATCGCCAATTGGTTGCGTCATGCTTTATCCACCTATCGGCCACAATTGGGAAGGAATAAGGATAGGGGTAATGTTTAGAACGTTTCATAGGGGTTGGACTAGCCCCTTTGAAGCAGGCAAACTCATTTTGTCGTAACAAATTTCACATGAGGTTCTACGGTAATCGAACCCGGCACCTCAGTGGTGAAAGGCACGCGACATCGCCACTGAACCACCTCCGCACGATTCGCATTGAATTGGCCGAGGTGGCTGGTGAACCATCCTTGAGCCGAAGGCGAGATATTGGTGCAAAAGTATAAGCTATAAATACTCTTTTGCGTCAAGCAGTTCTTCACCCAAGTCACAGAACACCGTACGCACTCAGATCATCGTTACTTCATCCTCCGGGTGTCCGTCTCTACACGCTTGTACAGAAACTCGATATACAACTCTCCATCCCCGTGAAACTCGATATACAACTCCCCCCGGGGGGGGGGGGGCGAAGACGTATTCCTCCTTGGAAGCTTCTCCAGCCTAAAATAGGCCTGAGATGATCAAACTTCCCCAAATCCCAACTCCCTCTAGTACATTACTGGCGGAATTTCAGGAGACGAAATCCATGCATACCTGCTATAACTTCATACACTGATGGTTCCTCCCAAAATGGTAATGTAGGGTGTGCCTTCTACTGGCATAGTGTCACGCCGTGTCTTCGAATACACACTTCGTGCAGCGCTTATATTACAGAAAAATAGGCGCTCTTGGACGTAATTTCGCTGAATTGATGACATAAGAAGCAATGATCTGCAGTGCTCGCTCGAATCTGTATCAGGCTTCACTTCCTGTGACAATAATCATCCAATATCACATCCATCATTTGTTCGAGCGTCGTTATAGTCCCGGTTCTTGACGGGGGCTTAGACCTTGTCCCGGCTGGGACGCTCCCCCGATGATGGGAGATTTTTGTTGGAAAAATCCCGCAAGTCAGCGTCGGAAGTCGCCATCCACCGCTCAAAGATCATAGCCACCCCCGTGATAAAACACACACTATATTTCGTAAAGACCATTGCAGTTGTTGCGAGCGGAAACAACGATTTAACAACGAACGAGTCTGGAGTTAGACAACGCGCACGCATGCGCATTATCGCTTCTAGGGATCCAGAAGCCGCACTTAGAACGCGTTCGCTAAAACACGGGAATTGTTTGTCGAGTAAATTGAGTCAATTGCAAAACTTCAGCCTTCCTAATGGAAGACTGCCACCGGCATTTGGGTTTAGGGTCCGCTTGATAAACCCGCCGGCCTTAGAAAAACGGCTGATGCGAGGGAAGAAGAGATATAAGACAAGATGACTCTCTTCTCGTGAATGGTTCGAAAGACCAATTAATGTTGCTACACTACATCAATACGACCAGCAAGATTTTCAAACGTATGTTCGATGGTGATAATGGTTCCCGTGATGATAATGATTCCCGTTCCACTGATGTGTTGCTCTGTTGGTTCGTGAACATTTCTATTCTAAGGAAATCAAAGGCGAGTCCAATCATCAAATCGTTTAGTTACACGTCTTCCATTTCCCTAAGAGCTTATATTACCTACAGCGTGACCCAGACTAAATGTTAGACTTCTATGTCGTATAGAGGGGTGAAAATGATCACATTATTTTACAAATAAATATGTGGGAAATTTCGTGTAACAAAATTACACATGTGATATTTGTCCATACTTTTTAGCTAATTCGTCATGCACTGATGCTCAGCAGGTTCGCATCTATGTACTTGACTGCATCAGAACGTGGCCTGAAAAACAACAGCTCATAGTTTCCTGCCAATCAAAGGAAATGTCACAGTGTAACTTCGTTACATGAAATGTTCCGCCACTTTTTGGCGAATGTGATCTTCAATCCGCTCCGTGTCCTAGAAGTTTGGAACCTTTATTCCACCCAAATGTATATGCCACCCGGTCAATCTATACTGAATGAAGACTTCCTCGATATGCTTCTGCAAATATCACCTCTTTTTCATCTAGGTCAAATCTTTCACAATCTCCTGTAAGATTCGTTCTGTACCGACCAGAGACATATCATTCTAGAAATGGTGTTGCGTTAAGAAGCTTATTCTACAAAGGCCCCACCCTTTTATCAGAAGCCAATGGATCGTTTTCCGTATTGATTTAGGGATTTGTAACATTGCTCTCAACCCACCCGTGGACTGGATCGTCCTCGAATTTTTATACGGAAGGTAACCTTATTAAGCTTTCAGCGGTGTTGCCGATCCTATTCTCTTCCTCTCTCGACCTCATCACTAGATATTTCAGCGAGCAGGGGAGTGGATGTTTGAGACTTCCCTGTTCCCAAATGATACATTTTCAATGACAGCCCGTTTCATCAATACTCTGATCACCGTTGCCACTATTGCCATTCCGTGGTCTACTGGCAGATATTTCCCAGTTCTATGATGGAACCCAGAATGTATGCCTGCGGATAATTCACGAAACAAGTCGCCAGCATATCTGAACCAGCATTCACCGCGATTGTAGTAATAATCGACAACCTCATCTTTGTCTAAAAAGCACGTGCGAAAATTATACGCAAACCTGCTTCGTGGAGTGGAGACAGACAGACAGACAGAGAGAGAGAGAGAGAGGAGGGATGCGGACAGGAGAGCAGAGAGAGAGTAGGGACAGACGGAGGGAGAGAGGAAGACACACAGAGAGAGAGAGGGAGACAGACAGAGAAATAGAGGGAGACACAGAGAGAGATAGAGACAGAGTGAGAGAGAGACAGACAGACTGATGGAGGCAGAGAGAGGAGGCAGACAAAGAGAGGGAGACAGGCAGACGTACAGAGGGTGACAGATAGACAGAAGGAGACAGAGAGAAAGACTGACAAAGAGAGAGGCAGATCAACATAATAGTTTGATTGGAGACTAATTTTGAATTGTTCTTGTATTTATAGACATTTAAAAAAATATCCAATCTCTATTGACCAGACCTCTTTACCCAATCTCTATTGAACCTGAAAAGGCAAGACACTAAGTTTTGCAAAATTTTGTTCTAACTAAATCCAAATAACATCTATCCTGGTATCGTTTAATGTGAATTACGTTAATAGGTCTTCCAATTCTTCTCATAATATATCTCAGAGTTTTCAGAAATTTATCTTTTATTACAATGACGAATATTATTAAATATGTTTATTTTCAAATGTAATTATACACTGGTGTTTGTAAAAATTGCGACACCAAGGAGACAATGCTGTTACAATTTATTCCTAAGATCAGGAACATCACAATATATAGAAATGATCAGAATTTCATAACTGTACCTGTATTTTGACCTTTCGTGTTTAGTGCGATGTGAAGCCGCCACGCGCTGCCAACAGAGCGTCTAGATGTCGTGGCATGAATTCAAAGAGAGCCTGGATATGCTGCTGGGGAACATTGCCACGCGGTTTCTATGCGTGACCACAAAGCATCGAGAGTGGCTGCAAGAGGATCAGAAGGAACAAGTTGCCGACCGATCATATCCCAGACATGTTCGACGGGCGACATGCCAGGCGAACGTGCAGATCAGAGAATCAGTGATACCCGTTACTCTTCGCTAAAAACTTGCACATTACTCGTCACATGTGATCGGGCATTGGCTTGCTGAAATAACGACATGCGCTGCTGCTTGCAGGATGTGCAATACTTGGGGCTCTAAAACCTTCCTGATGTAGCAGTTGCTGTTCAGACTGCCCTCAATACTGTTACGAATATTGCATCACATGCCGGAATTCGCTGCGCGAGGATTGCGTCATCTGCCGGCGCCCCCTCCCCCCCCGAACTAGACGGTTCCGGACTATCCGCGAGCCGCGGGGAAACGCCGAGAACATGCCGGGTGCCTGGAGACAAGCGCCGGGCAGGTATAAATGCGCCGCTGCCGGCGACCGCGAGTCAGTTAGTAGAAGACGTGAGTAGAAGTCAGTGGGTTGTACGACGTCAGTGAGTGGCAGAGAAGCAGTCAGTCCGTCAGTGTGTCCGAAGTGGAAGCTGTGCTGTGAAATGTGCATTGCGGTGAAGAGTGGTGCAGCGGTTGAACAGCAGTCAGCAGTCTGAAGTCTGCAGTGGAAGCTGAGCTGTGAAGGGTGCATCGCGGTAAGCAGTGGTGCAGTGGGGAAACAGCAGTCAGCAGTTTGAAGTCTGCAGTGGAAGCTGAGCTGTGAAGTGGGCATCGCGGTAAACAGCAGTGCAGTAGACCCTGGTGTGCGCAGTGAAGTGTGGTCTGCGCAAGGAATTGTGGTCTGCGCAGGGGAATTGTGGTCTGTGCAGGGAATTGGGTCAAGTGCAGTGGACCGTGGACAGAGCATCGGACTGGCTGATACTGTAGAAGAAGAGAACTGTGTAAATAAATAGTGTGTAAGGAGTGAACTGTGTAAATAAATCATCAAGAGAACGGAATCGTGTGTAAAAGAAAAATAATTAATTGTAATATATCTGTAAATAGACCAAGTAGATTTTAGTGTATGATTGTTCACGAATAAACGTTTTTGTTTACATATTCTGTTGGTATTAATTCACCACGAGGAACGTTACAATACGTATGAGTCGAGATCGCGCATTGTAGCCAATGGCACCCCAAACCATCACACTTGGCGTTTGTGTCCTACGGCGTGGAACAATGCAGACTGGCAGATTGCGATCACCACGGTGGCGTCAAACACGAACGCTGTACTTAAAATTGAAGTGGAACTCGTCCGAAAACACTACATGTTGGCAGTCAGTACACTAGCGAACACGTTCACGTGCCCATTGCTGTCTGTATCTCTCAACGGAATTCGACGCATTGGTATGCGTGCCACCAGGCCAGCCCTCAGCAGACGGCGCGAACCGTCGATACAGACGTGATTCACACCCGTACGCGTCCATCACTGTACCACAAATTGAAGCATTGCAGTGCTCCAAAATCGAGCCAACACTGTGGACGAAGCTGTTCTGTCGGTTAAGGCCATGCGAACTAGAAGGCGGTTATCTCGCGCTGTGGTCACGTTGTGTGGTCCAGTACCAGCTGGTAGCTGTGTACGACCGTCCTCTATCCACTGGTTCTACCCACGCAGCACTATCATAGCTACGCGCCCCGTTCGAGCCGCAATGTCACGGTACGACAAACCCGCTTCCCGAAGACAGATCATTCTGCCCCGTTCGAAATCGCTCAGATGCTGATATTGTGCCCTTTGGCGTTGTCGAGGCATACCGGCAGTTGCTTGCACGTATCCACGTCGTTTGGCGGCTCTACATCGACTGAATGACGCTTATGTAGCTTTATGCTGACCTCACCTGTCACACAAAAGAGGGTGCTGCTAGGCCAACGTGCACACCATCTCTTAGCAAATTTAATCACTTCTTATGGATACACTATTCTACACATCCCCCGATTTTTAAGTGATTCCAACCATTCCTTCTGGTTTTGTGCAATTTTCACAAACAGCACTGTATTATTATTGTTATTCATGAAATTATATTACCAAATATCACTCATAGCATTACCTGCGATTAAATTTTTAAAAATCTATTATTTCAATATTCATGTTAAAATATTCGTAGACGGTTCTGTGGAAAGAAGTAATGTGATGGGAAAATTAATTTTCTTGGTTCCTGTTTGAAATAAAAAGCCTGGATTTGCCATTGGTAATCAGCTAATTATATTAAAAGTGGTGGCATTCAACTGATCAATTAGTAATCATGAAAATAAGAAAATTACACATTGCAGTTTTCAGATTTGGAAACATGAAGTGAATTCTACCTTGTACAACGATTGTGGTTTAACAACTGATGAAAGTTATTTTTTGAATCTTCAGTTTGTTTTGGGCTCATGTAATAATGAAACTACTACAGTTGATTTTTAAGATTTATTAGCAAATCATCAGAATACTATGATTTTTCTGTACCCTATTCTGATATTTGTAAATGCTATTTGTGAAATAAATACATATAATTTAAAAAGGAATATGTACTGGATACTTCAGAGGAATAAATTGCACTTCTCTATATTTGAGCTTCGAGGTTATTAACATGACATGCAATGTGGATTTGATGTAATGTCTAATACTCATGCACCATTGTTGTTCACTTGCTGTTTTTTTATTTTCCCCCCCCCAATAGTTGTGATTTAGGGCCTTTATTCTTTACATAAATTTTTTAACTTGAAATTGTGTGTTAAATTATGGAAATGTTAGACAAAGATGCACGGAGAACTGTGCAAGTTTCTAATGTAGTTCTTCACTCTCAAGAGATAGATTTGTGAAATAAATTATTTACAAAATTTCATTCATATAATCTTCACAAACACAAATTCTTGCTCGTACAAGTTAATTTCAATATTCACTCCTTTTCTTTTGGTTTCTGCTTTTTGTGAAATGTTTCATCTACTGAATCCAACACATCAATGATTTCTGAAAAGGATTTGAAAACTGCTTCTGCACTTGCAGCATGTAACAAAGAATATATTTTCAAGGTATTCTGAACTTAACTTTAATAGACTGTGTAAGTTCTGCCCATCTATTGTAAAAACAGAAAAACAATTTTTTTAAATTTAAATTAAATATATTATATATATTTAATATAAATATATATTTATAAAATTGAGTATCAACATTAAAATGAATAAAATATATTTCAACACATATATGATATATTATAAGATTTTATTTTAAAAACTATTAATACATCTAAGCATGACCTAGTCTGCTTATGTGTTGATTCATCTCTGGTTGAAAGATGGGCAAGAGGGAGGAAGCAAAGAGGAACATGAGATTTGGATAGACTGACAAAAATATATTGTGTACGTCACAAATCTACAAGGAGTTAAAGGATTCTGAATCCCAGCACATACAAAAAAGTGTTGGGCTAGTGTGTATTTAGGCTTCTGTGATGATTTTTTAATTTTTTGAAATACTGTTGTTCTAACCGTTCTACCTAATAAATGCACTTTGATTGAGGAGACAGCATATCATTAATGAAACATACTCTAAAACTTTTACAAGTATAATTTATTTTGAAAACATATTACATAGAAAACATGATCTCTGTGGTCTTCAGTTCATTTTTCAAGGAAGAAATACAGAACACTTTTGAGTCAGGGACATGGGGTACAAGAGCATTTTGCCACATTGGGAGGAAGCAGTTGAAATATAGACCACACTGGCCCTTCATACAGTTGCACAACATTCAGTATGTACTAATGTGTACACATCAATTTTAATTAGCAATGTATTTCATTGATATAGAATGTATATTTTATTAAACAAGCATTGTCACGGACATAAACATATGTTGTTTGTTTTGTGCCTTTTTTGAGAAGGGAGTTGTGAAATGTACTGGAGAAGGGTACGTGTTTATGGATGTAATCAGAATGAATGAGATTCTGATTAGAATTGTGTGGAACATAGTAGGTTATGGTCTGATTGATGTCATGTGGAGTAACAATGATTATATCATGTTTATACTTTGCAGTCGTGAGTCCTTGTTCTCCTTAGGCATATTTCTTTGGAAATAAGTTTGTAGAGATTTTTGCCGTTTTATTGTAATTAACTGTTCCGAGAAATACACAATATCATTGGTCTTAGAATACAACAAATTTGCACATCTTGCATTTAATATTAATGAGTACAGCAATTTTTAGTAATTGCTGAAATCAAAACATTGCAAATCCAGTTTCCTATTACTCGGGATTACTATTTAATGTTTTATGTGAAGAGCAATAGCTCTAAATTGAATTTTCTGGGCTATTATGTATAAAAAAATATATTATAAACAGACTTGGAATTTATTTGCCTGTGATAATTCATTGATTGTTTTGAAATATTTTCTTCAAAGCAAACCAACAATAAAATTTTCTTTTCTAAGATAAAACACAAGGAAAAGATGTTGAATCATGAATTAGTATACAGAATATCATCTCTCTACATGCCAAGTAAATATGTTCATTGCCTATGTTTTATCTGAGCCCAGTTCAAACCAAGCCGCATCCTCAATTCATCTCTGTGTATTAGCCAATCAAAACAAAGAGTCACTTCATTGAGCACAATTTGCCGAATTGAATTGTCAAATATAGTCCTCACACTTTCGGGGTATGTTTTATTACAATCTTTCAATTTTTTTATTTTTTTCTTCTGTTATAATTGTGAATTATGAATGCTGTGGCTTGCTCTTTGGATTTTCACTGAAAATTGATAAATATTTCTCAGTATTTCTGTTTGTAGCAGTTTCTAAAAATACTCGTGTATATCACATTGTCATTGTACAAGACATATTTTAATAAAAATTTATTTTATATTAATCTTTGAACTGCTCATTTATCAAAGGGTAGGTATTTGTTGTGAACAGTTATTCATAGCTTCACATTAAATTTGACAGAACTGTGGGTTTGGAAGTAATGGACCATACCTATTTGTTTGTGGTTGCAGAGGACATCTTTGTTAAACATTGAACTTGTGATTGTATTCATGTTAAACTGCTATAGAGTAATCTGATTGGTTGTGATGGTGTGAGCTTGGTCGAGACCATAGAGATGACCTCAATCCAAGTTTCAGTTTCTTGAGTGTATCAATGTCGCACTCAGCTTCGCTTAATTCTGGGCGGTCAGGTGTGTCTCCAGACTCGGACTGTGGGGGTGGTCGACTGCTGAAGGTGGCTTCTGCTACAGTGAGAGGTGGCAGAAGGGTCCTGAGAGAGGGTCTGCTGGGGACGAGCCATCTGCAACTACTTTGAAGATCAACACTCAAGTGGGCATCACTGCAGTAAGAACAAAGATTTGTTTCAGAACTCTCATTCAGGGGTTTATATACAATGTAAATCATTTTGGTGGAAAAAGACACACAAGTGTGTTCTACATAATGAGATAAACTAATGTTTTTAAACGTCATATTGTAGAGGAACACTTTATTCCTGAACTGCAAATTGTCAATGTTTTCTTATGTTCCGTGGCAACCAAAAACTTGTGCTTATGGTGAGCCGAAACAGAATATGTACGCTAATAACACCAGAAAGAAAATATGTTTTTTGGATACAAATTTAGAAAAGTGCAAATTTGGAATTGACTGAACTGTGATGTCAATAATGTATTATTATTAATTATAGTCCAATATCAGTGAAATCAGTGTCATCTCTATCACAGGAAGTCCCAGACATGGGGCTACAAGAAAATTTGAAAATTACTTAAAATGCTTATTAAGGGTATTCATGCCCCCGAGGGCAAAATAATAAAATGATTTATTTATTGATAATATTACGAGGAACAGCACAGTGACTTTTCACACCTCAAATGACTCACTTTGTATAATTTAAAGAATCAAAGACAAAACAGCATATTTGAAAATCTTGATTCTTGTTGCACTTTTTTTTCTGTTTCCCCTCCTTTTTTTCTTTTTTCCCTTCTTCCTTTCTTTTTCTATTCTTTTTTTCTTCCAAAGCAATAAGCAACTAACATTTTGACTTACAGTCCTGGAGATCTTGAAAATGAAAGATTTAATGAGCAGTATTCTAAGAAATGTCTTCTTAAAAATTATAACAATGTTTGGTCACATTATTTTCACAAGAAAAGGGCCATTCATTTATAGATGATAACATTCTCTTGATTTTAGAAACACACAAAAAAGAAATGTTTATGAAGTTTTAAAGGAAAAAGTTTTGAAACTGCAATTGTTAAATAATTAAGGTATCCACTGCCATCCATTTTGGTATGTTATACGATAACTGGTAGGTAATAAGTGAATCTGAGTTTGATTCACTCAATAATAATAGTAGTGATAATGTAATAACCTATAGATATAATTCAGAGACGTTTATACTATAAGAATCATATGTACCTATTTGTACTACTTGAACCAGTGCTTGAGATCAGTACTTATTCTGAAATACTGAAGATTAGAGTCGCCATTATACCACCATATTATTCTTCACATTTTATCAGATAGATACCAATCAATATCTTGACCAGGTAACTTGTGGCAAGGAACACTTTATTTCTGCTTTAATAAAAAGATGGAACTAAAAGTATGGAAATGGAAAAAAAGAATCATTTGAAGAAACTTCAAAGATATTGTTTTATTTTTGATGGATGGTATGTGATGAACATGGTGGATCTCTCACAATATGATTTTACTTCGCTACCATTAGGTAGATCTTATCTCACAATACTGGACTACATAAAATTTGAGAACTTGAATGAAGGATTAATCCTTATATATTACACGCTAGCCTTTAAATTAAATATGTAGGGCCTATATATAGAATAACTGAATATTTCATTACACTCTAAACAATGGCACCAAATTTTGAAAATCCAGGTTTGGTATTGTAAGTCAAAATAGTCAGTTTAAAATGAATACAATTTGCACTTACCAACTAATTTTTCAAGTACCGAGACAATTTTAGAACAGAGTAACTTTGTCTTTCCTTGTGAAATTTCAGAAACAGGAATAAAATAAATTTGGCTTGAGTGATGAACAAAACGTTAATTCAAAAGGAGAAAGGAAAGTATATATTTGAAACTAAACTGTTCATTTTTACCTGGCTCTTCCTCTTCGTGGGAGTGACTTTTGTTCTGACATAGGTGAAATATCTGAAGATGTACTGGATTGAGCTCCATGGTAAATAAAATCTGGAAACAAAATTAAAATTTTTGTATATTATTGTTTCTTGATGTAATCATGTGAACTAACTGACATTTTATGGAGATTCATGTGCAAAAGATAATTTATGATTAGTATTGATGAGTAAATAAACACACCTGTGTTACTCATTTCCATTACATATAGAAATTGAAAGAAAACTATGCAAACTCTGTCCTTTTGATAAGATATGGTTTCGTCAGGTACTCAATGACTGGGGAAATATACAAAAACAACCGTATTATTTATTTCCAGTCTGCACATAAGTTTAAAGAAATCTATGCAGCCTCCAGCCTTTTGATAGGTAACTATGGTTTTGTTAAATACTTAGGAACTTTGGGAAAAATACAAAAACCATCTATGTTACTTATTTCTGATGCATGCACAAAATAAAAAACTGTGCTGCCTTTAGCCATTTGAGAGGTGTCTATGGTTTTGGTAGATACCCAACAACTCAGAAAAAATACAAAAACAAAGAAACAGATTTGACTATGACGAAAAAATGCAAATATTTGATTGTGTTATTTTGTCTATTATATTGCATATATTGACTCGTACTTCACTGCTGTTGTTGTTGACACATCAAGGCTCCAAGGAAGATGCCTTCACTATTAAATATTTACCATTTACATGTTGCGCTACAGATCAGTATCTTTCCCGACATTCTTAGTATCTTGAAAATTGTTATACTGTATATATACTATACTATATTATTGCACTATTTGTGAAGGCTATTTTGGTTAAAATATTTAATTTATTGCAGGTTATTTAAGCAACAGAAGCAACAAATTGCAGGTTATTTAAGCAACAGAAGTTTTGCTGCTTCAGGACATTAGTAATGGATACATTTTTGAAATCAAGATAGTGGAGATATATTGGGTAATATTGGAGAGGTTCCTGAGAACCATGAGCTGGTAACGTATGGCAATTCCACAATGCAATAGCAAGCCCTGATAAGAGGAAAATAAAGTTCAGAAATAATAGGAAGCTAAATGAATCTATTTATTTACCAACTCCTCATGAAGAATTCCAAGTAAATGATTATTTTGTGATTCAGATTTTTATAAGAATGTTTAAAACTGTACTTTACTAACTTTGTTTTAAGTTGGGTCTTAGTATACTGCTTTCTATGGTAGGCTTTAAATTATTAACAGAAAAAAATAGGTACTCAGTGGAAATCAGCCTATAGGAATCAAAATAGTACCATAATAGATTATAAATATACAAGTACAAATTTTTAAAAATTTAAGAAGTTGCAATACATATAGGAGAGATTTTGACTTAGATAAAAAACTAAGTAATTTCCAACATGTATGTGGCACAAATCACGCACACAAAAATAAAATACAGAAATAAATGTAAAAAACTTGTTAACACTATAGCTATCCCAATCTTAATGTAAGGAATTAAACCAGACTTTTAATCAAAAGAAACAAATCTAGAATCCAACCAGAGGAAATGAAAGTTTTGAGAAGTGCACCACCTAGAGCACCAGAAAGAACTTCTTGTTGAACTATTGTTAGAAAAAACTTTTCAAAAGATAAAAGAATTTAGTATGAACCTCCTATAAGAATACTGAACTCCAAGCTAGAAGGATGTCCAAGAGCACAATAGGATGAAAACATCAGGAAAAATAAATAAAGAAAGAAAGAAAGAAAGAAAATCCTTGTTGCAGTTGTTAATTAATTCAATTATGGAAGTATTTTAACGTATTAATAAAGGAACAAGCAACTCATACTGTGTTTAAATTTATTGGTGTCCAACTGGTTGGAAGATTCTGTTCGGCTTGAAGTTAACTGGTCAGGATCCGAATCTGAGTCATCTGTTTCAACTTCTGTCTTTCTGCTACCTCTTCTTCTAGCTCCTCCTTTAGGAACCTGAAATATATTTAGATGTTTCACTTAAGGATCTAAAATTTATAATTATTTTCTATCAGAATTGGTTATGTATGTAGAAACAGTCATCTAAGGTTAAATGTAGTAATGAAGAGCAGAATTAAATAAAATATTATGTTTAAATGAAAATCAGTGGTGCTTAATAGCACATATAATACAAATAATACACAAACATAAACAAGTAATATTTGTGTTCTATATATTATACAACATATTGTATTACAAGGTATATTACAAAACAGCAACTTCTATCCTACTAACATGTTCAGCCATCATTTAGAAAACTCAATCAATATAACTCCAAATTACACGAAAAACTACTAACATTTTGAAAAATGTATGCATGAGCTTATTTCAGGATTTATTATTGAGGAATAGTTTACATGAAATTATTTAAAGAATCAGCCTTTAAAAAAAGGACATTTACAATTTTTTGAAAACAAGTTGTTTTCGCATAATTTCTGCTTGAAATTAATGCAATTTATTAAAAACACATTTTCAAAATCTGGTCCAAATTTTTCCTTTACATTTTTTTCTGTGGATGATTAAAGAATGTCGCAAGTCTCATTTTTGTTGAACTTTCAGAATTTTTTAAAATTGAAAATTTGAAAATCATGCAAGATGCTGTTGGACCACGACTAATTGAGTCTTAGGAAGAATTATGAGAAGGTATGCTTGTTGTTTTTATCTACTTTATACTTACTCTTAGAAAATAAATAGGCTATCTGCATAAATGTACATGTACTAAGGAAAATTTATCCTTACCCCACTAGGAGGAGGTGAAGCACATCCTTCAGTCATTGCTTGTTCATGATACATGAAGCTATGCAATAAGGTGTTATTAGGATCTACTCCAGGACCAGAGAGTTGAAATGTTGCGTAAGGTGAAATGTCTTCAGATGTTTCTGAAAATGTGAGAATGTCTTATGTAAAACACTCTCTCTATATGAATTATATTCTTTCCTATTTCAACATTAATAACATTTGCACTTATACAACATTTAATTTGAACCCAGGTTACAGTGTGATTTAAAACTCAGTAAATAAAATGTTTTCAGAGTACTAAAATACATTTTTTGAAACACCTGCATCACCTGCTTTTTATCTGTACTTCTTTACTCATGTCTATAAGTACAAATAGCTGTTCAAGGCATATTTGTTCATTTTCTTCTTTGTATATCATGAATTTGCCATATTCAGTCCTAGATACAACAATGGATATTTTAGATATATTTACCCTTTCTCTTGAGTTTGTAATTTGCAGGAATTATCATTATTGAGAAGAGAATAGGTATATAAAGATTTTCAATTTTTGATTTAATTTAATGACTATAAATTAAAGCTAGTAGTTAAATAAAGGAAAATCATTCTTCCATATTTTGAAATTATTTGAAATATGGTTATTTTCTCGATTTGTCTTTGGTTTACACGTACACACTACGTATTTATCATATATTTGCTGTTAAACATATATCTTTAATATGCAAATACACTATATTACATGTGGTACATATTTCCACACTTGAATTTGATATTAAGGCACACAAATATATGTACAAACAAAGTAGGCCTATTTGCTTTAGTAAGGTTAGAAAATGTGTACATTTTCACAAGAAGACAGTTTCTACCAACCATTAAAATGTACAAAATACATTGCAGAGGCAGTGCATATGAAGATGCAGTGGCTATAATGGGACTAGAATTTTTGAAATCTCACATGGGTTAAGCATGAATACATATCAAGAATTAAAAAATAAGAAAATAAAATATATTCACATTTGTCTGACAATCTCTATGTAACGTTAGGCAACTAGCTTTGTTAAATTTTATCATTTCACATGATTTAGGTAGGTACAGAATATTATATTCTACCAGAAGTTTACTTTATAGTGATCCCTAGATATAAATAGGTAATTAGGTATGGCTCTTGTAGCAATATTCAATATTTGTGTGTGTTTTATGACATTTCTTAATAAACATCATCATCATCATAAACTGCAAGTTAATAGACCTATTGCCTTTTCGTGTTAATGATACCAGTAGGCCTGGAGGTTCATCCTTTAGATGTATATGGTTTTTCAATTTTTGTTGTGTTCTCCCAACATCTTTTCACCCTATTGGTTTATGTCCCAGTACCACCCTCTCTTAATGATAGAAGTTAAAAAAATATTAGGTGCAATAAACATGCAATCTATGCAAAATTATCTTGTTCATAACTGCTACTAACCTTAATCCGGAATTCTACAGTTAAAAGCTCATTGACATTGTAGCATATTAAAAATAAATGAAAGTGATTGATAATTGTGAATGGCTATTGAAGTAAATTAATTAATCAACTGTGTGACATCAAGAATGTGACACATGAATATAGGATAAGACCTACGGAAATTTCTCACAAGTCTGTTTCATTCTTTCAAAATTAAGTTTAGAATGGCTGAGTTGTAAAACTAAGTAGAGAAGTGCTTAAAACCCCAAAAGTTTTAACACCACCAGTTTGTTTTCAGGGCTTGTTGTCAGGCCCAAAATCTCGACACATGTTTCCCTATGCATGACGCGCTGAATCCGCTGAAGTGCAGCCAGAATTGCGCCATCGTCCTTCAGTTCTTTTCTTTTTTATCTTGAAAAACCGCAGTGAAATTGTAAGTTTCACGGTGATTTTTCGCGTTCTAAAAAGTACTGGAGGAGGGTGGCGCAATGTTGGCTTCGGATTCAGTGCGTCGATATACCTAGAGAGAGAAACGTCTTAGGGTTTGACAACAACCCTGAGAAGAAAAACATACATTTTCACGGTGTTTTTGACGATAAAAAAACAAAAAACATCAATACTGGAGGGTGGTGGCGAAAATTTGGTTCCAGATTCGGATTCAGCTGCTCGGCATTCACAAAGAAACACGTGTCAAGTCTTTGGGTCTAACAACGTCTCTTTATTTTGTGTGCCTGTGTAATTTATTGCTAATTAACTGGCACAATTTCGAATTAATTCCCGGCTGTTATCTAGGCGAAGGAGTGTGTGCCGGCTTGACGTAACACTAGCACATAAGCTATAAACGATCCGTAGCTGGACGGAAATGACACGAAATTTTGTTGCTTAATTATTGCCACAATTCCGAATTATACATACGAGCTAATTCTGTACCAGGCTTGACGAAAACGAGAGCATATACATTGATTACTAATTAATTGGCACAATTTCGAATGAACTGCCTCCTGATTTCGTTACCAAACTAGTGGTGCTAAAGCAGCCGTTACTTTCTCTCGCGTATTTTCACGCAAAATTACGCGAAAAGTACTCAAATTTTTGAAAAAATTGTACATGACCTTCATTCAAAATCTATCTATTGGGAACAGATTTCATTAGGGGAAAAATCTTCAGCTTTAATATTTTAGTTGATGAAAGACACCGATTTGTTTTAATGTTTGGAATTTTCGAAAAAAAACAACAACAAACAAACTATTTATAACGAACATGCACCATTCTCTTAAAAGTCCTTCACACTACCCAGCAAGAAAACTGAATCAAAAACGATGGAGCCATTCTTTTTTTAAATTGGAAAATGTCCCAGGGATTTCATGTAAAGTACCCCTCAAAATTAAAATATCTGTTTTAAATTCAAGGGGCCGCGATATCAGCCAGATGGATTGGGGAATATCAATTTTGGAGAAAATCAGCTGAACGGTTTAGCCGCTAGCGTTGTTCACAGACGGACAAACATGTTGCATTCCAATGAGGAATAAATAATGAGTCATTAAGCCCTGAGGAAGGTCGCAGAATTGCGACCGAAAAGTCGGCACCTTCGCCATGGACGCGGCGTCACCAGGACAGTCACTGACTCCGGCCGCGGAAGCCTATGCTCTCTGTACCAAAACGTGTACACGGACATTTTTTTAAGAACACGCTATAATCTTTCATTTAAAAAAGAAATTGGACGTGAGGTTACAGAGATAATGGTGTCAAAATTATTTTATTATTTATTTATTTTTCCCCATCTTTAATGGCGTCCCACTCCGGCCTCCACATTTGGGGCGCCTGCACTTCAACGTATGTCATACGAGTAATTCAGAACACAAAGGAAAACCGCTTCCGAAATATTTTACATACGCTTACACCTCTACGACTACCACTCTACTGACAGAACCATTCATTGCTAAAATAAACGGTAATAAAACAGCACATACTTTCTCGAAATTTTTCAAATAATTCTAACTATCAAAAATTCAGAAATTTGAACGAAAATTAGACTTGCCCCAGTTTTAAGCGTCCTGAGAAAAAATTACAGACAAAATTTTGAGCCGATTTTCAGAATTTTTCAATATATTGCAGTAATTTCAAACAGAAATCACTAAAAACTACTCGTTTTTTCAAAAACTTATTCATGACCCAATTCAAAGATTAAATTTTTTAAAACAGATTTTAGACAAAAACCTATCATCAAAATTGTACTTTTGAAACATTAATTGTTTTGCAATTTTCGAAAATACAGAGATCGATTTTGCAATGCGCACCGGTTGCGAAAATAGGAGTAGCACAACTTTTGTACTGCACTTTGCTACATACGAGGAACATTTTTGGAGCCGTTTTTGATTAAAATTTTATAAAAATGCCTAAAACTCGTGCAATATTGCGTGAAAACGCAGATGCCGATGTTTCGACCGCCATTCTGCGACCTGCTTTGGGGCGAAATGTTCAAGTCATTTCACCCTGAGGAAGCTCGGAGAATGGCAGCCCATACGTTAGCACTTGCCTAGGACGCGCCATCTCCTAGACAGCTAAGACGTAACTACGATTTATACATTTGTTCGCTACCAGGGCCCGACAATACGAGGTTTTTTATGTCAAAGAGTGGCCGATTTCCACCGAAGCATTAAAACAATTTCACTATACTAGTTACGATGTTGGCGAGAAAGTAAAACACTGTACCCTTTGAAGAGCGTGTTTGTTGTTTTTCATTATTTTGAGGCCCCTTGCAAAGCGAGCCCCCGGCGGACGCCGGGTTCGCCCATGCGTTAAATCGGCACCGACTAGATGGCACACACATTCCAGGTTTCACCCTAGCTAGTGGCTCATGTAGGCAAATAGGCAAATCACATCATGCTTTTGGTGGTACTTGCATCTTTGTTAAAAATAATATTCATTATGTGTCTATCACAGATTACTCCTCTCTCTTAAAAGATGAAGACTTTGAAATATCTATTTTAGACGTACTGAAACAAAGAGTATGGATTTTATGTATGTACCACAGCCCCACAGGAAACACAAATGTTTTCTTAAAAAATCTTGAAATTGTTGTTGTTAAACTTAAAAGATGCATAAACTATAAAATGATATTATGCAGTGATTTCAATATAAACTGTTTGTCAAAATCAAATGAAGAGAACCTTTTAAAAATTTACTTAAATCTTTCAACTTACGAACTATTATAAATCAACCTACCAAAATATCTAAAAAAACGCAGTACCGCCATTGATCAAATAATAATAGACACAAATAATTGCAGCTATTCAGTTGTTACATATAACACAGGGTTTAGTGACCATACAACGTAATTACTCAAACATCAAAATGGACACAAAAGTTATTAAGGCAACACTTTACAGAGAAAGCTGAAACTTCTCTCAGGAAAACAGACAAATTGAACTCATTAATAAGTTCAGAAAACTGGGAGAAGGTACACAAAGCAACAGACACGAATACCAAATTTAACTTATTCATAAACACATACCAAAGTTATTTCAACACATTTCCCACAAACATTGAAGAAAATAAAAAATTAAAATCACTAATCATGGATAACCAAAGGAATCAAAACATCATGTGAAAGGAAACAAATCATGCATGAAACAATCCTTCACCACGACTGTAGTTATGATTTCATTGCTTATTACAAAACATACAAAAGTATCTTGA